CTTTAAAAATATAAATTAAATGACAGCTACTTCTATGGAGTTTCTTTTACCCTTTGTTCACAAAGAAGAAAAACAAAGGGTGGGGAAAAGCTGGTGAGAATTGGAGGAATTTGAACTTTGTTTATTGTAACAGGAGAGTGAATTTGAACTTTGTTTATTGTAACAGGACAGTGATTCGGGGGGACCCGGATGGCAATGGGTCGGGTTGGGGCGGGTTTTGTCAAACCCAAACCCAAACCCAAACCCAAACCCATGGGTTTATCCGCCAAAAAAACCCGGGGTAAAACCCGCTGGATTTGAAAAACTCAAACCCAACCCAACCCGCTGGGTATCCGCGGGTTCATGGGTACCCGTGGGTTTTTGTGGTAAAAAATTTACAATAACAAGTTTCTTTCAAAATAAAAGTTTAACATCAATTTTCTCATACAAATTATTCATACAAAAAACACCAATCTAGAGCATACGAGCAAACCGCAAATGATCAAATGCAAATTGTTCAAAATTAAAGATAAACATCTATAAACAATAAGATTAATTGAAAGCTTCTTCCTCGTCAACTAAGTTTCTTCACTCTCCACTTCATAATATCAACTTCATTCTAAACAATTAGAAAGAACAAATTCTACATGTCTCCACAAACATAAAGAATATTAGTTGTTTAACGAAGATATATTATTTAGAATATTAAATATACCGGGAAAGTAATTATATGTGTGTGGGCGGGTACCCATGAGGCGGGTTTACCTAAATCCAAACCCAACCCGACCCGGTGAATAGTGTAGCGGGTTTAAACCCGAACCCGGCCCAAAACCCGTCAACATGGGTTTTACCCGCATTGACTGTAGTCATCCCGTGGGTACCCGTGGGTACCCGTGGGTTCACTGTAGTAGTTACCCAAATTTGGGTCGGGTGGGTACCCGTGGGTTCGGGTTTTGTTGTCATCCCTAGGTTCACTGTAGTAGTTACCCAAATTTGGTATGAAAATAACTATTGCCTCTTATTTGGTCTCTTCCCCCCCTCTTTTTTCCCCTCCTAACTCTTTCAAATTGAACACCACTTTTCCCTCATTATTTCACTATCATGAAATTCCCGCCACATTTTCCTTCCCCTTTCCAATTTCTTTCCTCTTTTGTAAACATTAGAGGTTGAAACTGCAATTATTTACCCATACACTTATGGAAAATTCTTCATGCAATGAGAGATACGGAACTATGGGGTCGTTTGGAAGTTGGGATAGTTTTGTTGAGATTATCATTATGCATGTATTGTTTACAATGCATCGTTTTTTTTGTTTTTTTAGCAGAAACAATACATGGATTGTTTCTGTGATGTGACAGAAACTATCACTCATTTTGAGTGATTGTTATATCTCAACTTTTCGTTGTGATTGTTGAGATAGTTGAGTTGAGATTGTTTTGTCTCAGCTTTTAGCTGATGCGACATACACAATCACACATACCAAACGTTGTATTCTACAATGCATCAAATTTGACAATACATGTATAATATTATACATGCATTCTCAACAATACATCTATTTAACAATCACAACTTCCAAACGACCCCTATGAGTTACAAAAAAAATTATAAGTTCGGATTGTTGTATGTGTAATTTCTTATGCCCCTCTTCAAATATCCACCAAGATACTTATAGGAAAAATCATCGATTTTGTCACGATCTATCTTTTAAGTTTGTTGTCTACGCTCATGACTCTCCTCTGTGAATTGTAGTGCCTTTAATCACTTTGCATCTCTCACTCTCCACTTCTCTCTGTGTGCGCCAAGTTCCATCTTGTTCACCAAGTTGCATAATGGAGCTAATCGTAAATATTTTGTTGTTATGCTATTGTTGATTGCAACTTTGCTCTATAGGTGCAAATGGTAACAGCTAAACGAGTCTCAAGGCTGCAATTGCCCTGTTACGGTTCATGGAATAACGAGGCCACACTATAAAAATTGCTTTACGACTTCATATCACCAGCCAGATCAGACCATGGCTCCATAAAGTGAGACAACATCAATGGATTCATAACCATGACGTTGCAAGGGCTCATCATGACTCTGCACCACGAGCCAACCAAACTGTGCTAGATCACAACTTTGTTTTAATTTAGAGTAGGGATGGCAATGGGTCGAGTTGGGTCGGGTTTTGTCAAACCCAAACTCAAACCCATGGGTTTATCTTTGAAAAAAACCCGGGGTAAAACCCATCGGGTTTGAAAAACTCAAACTCAACCCAATCCGTTGGGTATCCGCGGGTTCATGGGTACCCACGGGTTTTGTCGTAAAAAATTTACAATTACAAGTTCTTATCAAAATTAAAGTCAAATATCAATCTCTCAATATAAATTATCCATATATAAAACACCATTCTAGAAAATTCAAGCAAATCACAAATTAACTATACAAATTGTTCAACACCAATCTAGAAAACTCATGAAAATTGAAGCAAATCACAAATTATCCATAAATAACATGTTTAATTGAAAGCTTCTTTCTTTCAATTAAGTTTCTTTAGTCTCCACTCCATAACATCAACTTCATTCTACACAATTAAAAAGAAAAAATTAGACATGTCTCCACAAACATAAATAAGAATAGTTGTTTAGAATATTAAATATACCGAAAAAATTAATTATATGAGTGGGCGGGTACCCACGGGCCGGGTTTACCTAAACCCAAACCCAACCCGATGAATAGTGAACGGGTTTAAACCCAAACCCGGCCCAAAACCCGTCAACACGGATTTTACCCGCGTTGACCGGGTTGGGTCGGGTGGGTACCCGTGGGTTCGGGTTTTGTTGCCATCCCTAATTTAGAGACCACAAGGTTGCAACCAATATGTTTTTAGGAGCATAATACTTATCAAAATCATTTTCATGGAGCCCCAAACTTACATTGTTGCACCATAGCCTGACGGGCTCACTCCATGGCTATGACTATGATCTCTATGGGTTGCATTGTGGCTCTAAACCACGAGCCATCACTGTTATCTTGTCTTAGCACTGCGGTGCTACAAAAATGCACCAAGGCCCCTCACTAAAAACCAACTTATCTAAATTGTGCCTTTACAACATGGTTGTATATTACTACAACAAATTCGGCCTATTACGACAAAAATTTCATTTTGTCATTTTCTGTTTGTCGCAGCAATATGTACGGTGATATGACAAAAATAATATATGTCATATTTGGTATGCCTAACATGACAAAAAATTGTCAGAATAAGTCGTTATTTAAAGTGAGTAATGTGACAAATACTTCGTGTCGCAATTAATTTTGTCAAAATAGGCGTTCCATATCGAGATGTAAGAGACTCAACAGTAACAAATTTTTTGTTGTCAGAATAGTTTGTCATTTAAAATGAGTAATGTGAAAAATAATTCGTGTTAACGATTAAGTTTGTCAAAATAGGCATCCCATATCGGGATGTAAGAGACACAAAAGTGACAAATTATATCGTCAAAGTAGCTTTTGTCATATTATGTCTTCCTGAATTGTTTAAATGACAAAATATTTTGTCACAATAGATAGAAATAATCCCACGATGAGCAAACAAAAGGGCACGTTCGTCATAATATAGTGGCTTCGACTTTGACAAAAGGCACGTTCGTCATAATATAATGGTTTCGTTTTTGACAAAAGGCATTTTCGTCAGATTTCCTTGTGTTAGACTAAAACCTCGTGTTAGACGGAAACCTATCGACCCTGTCGACACATTATTTCCCCCCACTCAAATTTCAGTCCCGTCCAATTTTTAACTGTCCACTTTTCAATCCCTCCCAATTTTTAGACCCCAATTTCTGGGAAGGAGAAAGCGGTGGGAGAAAAATAAATTCTTGTTTTCTGGAAATAAGGGGATGGGTTGTTCCCCTTTTCCCAGCGGAAAAAGCACACTATTCATTAATCAGACTCCGCGTTCCATTCACGACGGGTACAATTTTTCCCCTTTTCTTCTGTGCTTCTAAATGTTGTTGTTTTGTCCACCACAACCCTAGAAAGAGACAGTTCTCGAACTCTCCTCCCACTTTCTTCTACCTCTCGCTCGACCTCCCATCCCACGATATCTCTCTACCGCTATTTCTTTCTTCATACCCTTTGAAAATTATTGCCATGTTGTAGGAAAAGAGCTTCACTTCATTTTGAAGACACCCCTACATCAGTCCTGTTATGTTTCTTAAGGCCATATGTTCTTTCACATTCTTAGTCTGTTTCTATCGGTGTTATTAAGACCGGACCGAGCCGGCCGGCTGGACCGAAAAAGTCGTCACTCGGTCGCAAATCTGGCTCAGGTCAGTCATTTAGCCGTTACGGTTTTATGGAGCGGCCGGCGAGCGGTCGAGGCGTTTAACGGCTCGAGCCGCTCGAACCGGTCGCTCAGTTTTCCCCCTTATGGCCCTTCGGTTTAATAAAAAAAATTGAAAATTGAAAACGAAAGGCAAAATCGTGGGACTGGGAAAGAAACCCTAACTCTAATTCAGTCTTCGTCTTCGACTCTTCGTGAACAGAGGGAGAAGAGCGGCACCAAACCTTGACGCCGTCAACACTTCCTGTCGGCATCGTCGCCATCCCAGTCAGCGTAGTAGCTCCTAGTTTGCCATTTCCAGTCTCCATCCCCGTCCCCTCTGCTCCGTAGTCACTTCCCGTCTCGTCGCTTCCCGTCCCCATCGTCGCCATCCTAGTCCTTGTAGCCGCTCCCGGCTCCCCGCTCGCCAGTCCCCATCTCTTCTTCCCGCAACTGCTCCTTTGATAGCCATCGCCAGAGGCTTGAATCGAGCACAGCCCTGCTCCGGCCGTCTCACCCCTTCTGGTACTCATGTTTTGGAATTGTTAAGAGTTAAGAGTGTAATTTACTAATTTATTCATGGTTACCATGATTAAGAAGTGTCCACTATTTATTCTGATTGTTCATTAGGTATCGGTTTTCTAACGGTTTAATGTCGGTTGGACCGCTAAAGATCGAGCCATTCACGTTATCGGGTCATACTCCATTTCACTTTTGAAAACATTGGTTTCTGTTGATTAAATTATTCATATGCTGAATGCAATGGCAGCTTGATGAGCTAAAGGGTAAAGCCTCTTACCAAGTCATACATAGACTCTTTAAGCGAGCTAGGAATCTCAAGGTAATTTATTGATACTTGTTTGATTCGTAAGCCATGTTTTTGTGCTTTCTGCTTGAGTTTAGATGAAGTCTAGGCATTTTTTGTTTTAATTGCAGCTTGAAAATTTGCCTACACATTATAGTGGCTCATCCCTTACTCTCATTGGCTCTCAAAGAATTCGGCATTTGATATTTATGTAAGGTAAACCTTTCTAAGGTACTAAGTTGTCAATATCTCAGTTAACATTTAGCCGGTTTTTGTTGTTTTGATATGATATTTGCATATCATTAATTTCAGTAACTTTAATTTAAAACTAGGTATAAGAAAAAATGGCATACTTTATTGTTGTTTCACGAGAGTCCTCTTAAAATTGAGAAATGGCATTTTCCAAATTCTAATTGTGTGCCTTGTCTTTTTTTGCATGAATCAAGTTTGTCCAATATCCCCTCAAAGCGTGCAGGACGAGGAGTGGCAACCTGGAGCTCAAGGCGATAAAAGACATTTGTAGGAGTGATCTACTCCATTTGCTTGGTTCTATTCATTTTAATTCTGCAGGATTCTTTTGTTGTTCCAGTTGCTTGTTTTTTTACGTGTAGCTTCTTTACATTATTTCTTTTCTTGTTAATGTTTGTTTACTTTGTCATTGAATTCTTTAAATGAACTCCATGTAATATGTTTGTCTTATTTAAAAGAGATGATTGATATAATATATAAGTCTCCAAGAGCATGCAGCAAGAAGCATATGCAACAAGCTAATTAAAAAAAATCTTTGTAGTGTTTATTATATGTTATTTTAGACATGAGACAAATAAGGCACCTTTCATTACAAATATATTGTTCAATATATGCAGGTATGACAAAATAATATCGTCACAATAAACACTTGTGACAAAATGTAGTCGTCACAATATACAGTTATGACAAAATATAATCGTGTAATATGATGAAATTTTTTCCAAAAATCACTAGATTATGACAATCTTAATGAAAAAATACGTCGTCATAACATCTTTGTGTGTCACGATACACTACCCAGAACCTCGGCTATACTGAAAGCAAATCTGGCAACTTTGTTTTAAATATTTGTCACATTTGACCTATCCTGGCGGCGATAAAATGACAAACCTTTATAACAACATCTTTTGTCATATTATACCTAATATGACAAACTGGGTATCTAATATGACAAAATTGCCTCGTCATAATAAACCGAATTTGTTGTAGTGTATAGAGGTGTTTCGTCTCAAAGTCAACCAAATTGTTTTTTAGTCATAGAAAGGTTACAAACATGGTAGACAAAAATGACAAAGCTTACGAACATTACAAACATGATAGACAAAAATTATAATACTACAAACATTACAAAAGAAACCGACAAAGATTACAAAGCCATTGGAGGGAGGGGAAAATTCCAACCGGGCCTACTTTATTGTTATTATTATTTTAATTGATAAATAAAAGAACCATACAATTTTCATCTTATCCATCATTACATGAGTAATTAGAGCCTTTAGAGTAGGGGTGGGAAATGGTCCAGTCCGGTTTAACCGACCCAATTTTACTCGGTTTTTTATATGAGAATTGTGCTAATTTTACAACTGAAAATTGGAATGGATTAAAAATTGTTTTAACTGTGACCAGATTGGATTTAACCGGTCTGGTCCAAAAATTGGAAATACCCACGTGACCCTTAAACGACCCTGTTTATAGAATAAAAATGAACAAAAAAATTACACCCTATGACCCTAACCCCTCCCAATGGATTCTTCCAAATCATCTCTCTCTCCTCCCTGCTCACTTTCCTTTCTCTTTCTTCCTTTCGTCCTCATCTATTTTGAACTCCCTCTTCGTCTTGCTCACTTCACCATCGATTCACCATTACTGACATTAAATCTTCTCGACCTCACTCTCCGACCACAGCCTCCCTCTCCTTCGTTCCCGATTCCTCCACTCAACTGTGCTAATAGGGATGGGATTTGGAGCAGATGATGGCAGAACGAAGTGGCGATGATCAGCTCTCGAGTGGTCTCCGACGAGAGTCAGGGGACGGGGTGGAGGGAGGCAATTTGTCGGCGCACGACGAGAAAAGCTTCTTTCTCGTTTTCTTCTAGTGTGTGTAATCATAGGTACGGGAGGTAGGAGGTGGGTAGTGGGTGGGTAGTGGGATTCAAGAAAGAGAGAGTTTGGGGTTAGAGAAGGTGAGAGAAAAGAGGAGATTTGGGTCAATTAGGGTTTGGGGAGGGGAGGGGAGGGGAGGGTATGGGAGTTGGGTTGCGGTGTGAGGTGGGCTGGAGGCAGGCTGGGAGTAGGGGTGGGCAATGAGTTGGTCCACACCGGACCGAATCAATGTTTGGATCGGATCGTACCGAATCGAATATAATATTGTTTGGTCCTTAGTCCCATGAATTTTATATATACTAAAGAAAAATGGATTGAATATACATTTGGATCAGACCAAATGGACTGAATGCACTATTGGTCCGATCCTTGGTCCTAAATTATCTTTCAATGTTGGACCGCGGTTCTCTAAATTTGTTCTGATTCAATCTGGAAGGGAAGGATGCCCAGCCCTAGCTGAGAGTGAGGGCAGTGATGGGCTGGGGTGGGCTGGAGTATTTTTTTAATCCGGTTTTAACCGAATTTGACCGGGCTTGTGCACACTACAACCGCAAATTGGATTGGATTGATTGGAATCTGGTAACTGGTCGGTTTAGAGTTTGGCCGAAAAATTGAGACCGGATTCCCAGCCCTACTTTATAGTAGGGGTGAAGTTTGGGTTGCAGTTTTTGGATACTTCACAAACCGCATCAACCCACACCTATTGTGGGTAATCATACCCATAAGTTGTGGGTAGTTGGTTGGGTCTAGGTAGTAAAATAATTATTTTTGTTGTTAGTGGTTACCCACAATTAACCCACAAAATTCATAATAACCACACTAATTATATTTATTTACTAATAGTACTTTGTATTATAATAGCATGTGAAAAGTGAGAGGCTAAAAATTAAAGCAGCCACCAAAATCCAATATGCACCCAAACAGTTTAATGTGAGAAATTTTTAGTTTATAAACCACAATAATCGAGATAGTAGAGAATAATTGATTTATTAAAAGCGGGCACCTTTGGTAACTTTTATTTGTATGTTTTTGCTTTTGTGTGAAAGGAAGTACAAGATCATATTCAATTGTTATATTCTACCCTAGTCAGTGGAATCTGAAATCATAGCTCCCTTACACAAAATTTGAATACCAAACTCAAAAAGAAAAAATCTTCATGTTGAGTAGGATCGATATACAAAATTATATTTCCACGAACAATAAAATTGTATATCACTATAGTCTAGCTACGAACAACTAATACGTTAATGGTGGCCTCAACTCCATGCTTGCAATTTGCTAATATGGATTTTTGCGGGTAATCACACCAACCTGCACCAACCCACAATGGGTAGTGGTTACCCACTAACCACTGCAGTGCGGGGTGTGGATAGCATAATTGTAAATTTGTAGATGAGTATACCTGCAAAATGTGGGTATGTATCCACACCCGCCCCAATTTTCACTCCTACTTTAGAGTATAATTTAAATGAAGAGTGACTAAGAACTCCCTTAGTTACCATATCCTATTCTGAGGGTAAAATACCTCGGATAACACATAGATATGAGAATTAGGGGAGCTATACTACTTAAGTAATAATAGGGCGTCGAGTACCACTAATGTCATTGAATTGTGCATCTATTTAAAATTTCGTCCATCTACCTTCAATAAGAAGTAAATATTTTTTGTCAAAGTTTTAAAAACTATATATATAAAAAAGAAAAAATTAAAAACAAATAGTAAATTTTTCGTCAATCTCCAACCCGTCACTGCCTATCGTGGGTGCTGCACCTTATCCACGATCCTATCACCAAACTCCAACTCTTCGCGAAAGACCAAAATCCACCTTGACCTCATCGCCTTCTATGTAATTATCACCAAGTTTTATGAATCGAACTAGTTCTCCTACGTCACGCAGCTCCTCGACAAGCATCGCCACGACCATCCCGACCTCCAATCGAGAAATTGACAAGAATTGTAAGATACAAAGGGATCCATTTGCAAGGAAACTCATATTAAAGAAAGCTTTCCTCTTATCAATCTCTTATCAATCACAAGTTTAAGTTGTCATTGTCCAACTTTTAGGTCAATACCTACACTTTCATTTCATAACAAAAAAAAAAACGAAATGGAAAGGATCTGAAACTCAATGGGTGTGGAAGAAGAAAGAATGTTGTCAACTGGTGGAGAAGATGCACCCGCAGTCACGGTGGGGGGTGGTGAGGGTTTGGAGACGAACGAAATTTTGATTCCCCCACCCCTCTTTTGTTATATATACTTTAAAAATTTTGGCCAAATTTTTTTTTATTCTTTCTTAACGATAGATGGACGGAATTTTAAACGGATGCACAATTCAATGACGTTAGTGGTATCCGATGACCTATTCTTACTTTAGTGGTATAGCTCCCTCAATTTTCATATTTTAGCGGTACCCGGAGTATTTTACCCCCTATTCGAGTGTGGACACGTGGGAAAGTTTTTAGGGCATGACATGTGATCAAGACATTACTACATTCTTTTTTTCTTCTTCTTCTCATTGATGTGTGGCTACCTAGGGGACAGACAGATAGTTATATGAGACATTGTATTTATTGGTAGCTTTAGTGGTCAGGAGCAGTTATAGCTTAATGCAAGGGGTTGTGATGAGGAACTCAGAGGCGGGGCAGTAGTGTAGGAGGGAACATTAATGAGGTAGTTGTGACTTGTGAGTAGGCTGCACCATTTTTTGTATATAAACCCATATAATTTGCCTGTCTGTCTTCAATCTCTTCGTGTTTCTTCAAGGTGAGCTACTTTCTCATTTCTTTGTCTCATCTCTTTGTCTGCTGATTCGCCATTTTTTCCCTTTTCTTGCTAGATGTCGAACCGGCAGTACACTCCATTATTCAAAAATATGTTGGATACAAAAGTGAAGATGGAGCTATATGCGCAACAGTTGGCCAAGTACAAACAGTTGAAAACTTATGCTGCTAATATTGTGGAAAAGATCCAAGATTCAAGTTTGGTAGTCCTCTCTTGATGGTTCAGAAATTATAACTATAATGATTTTAAAGGTGCTCTAATAATCATGTGGATCAAAGATTGGATTACTATTGGGTTGCTGTGGGGCAGGATAGCATGACTACCATTAAAGGGGTCTGTTTTTTTACACCCCCTCTAGATGTCGTTCATTTCCACTATATCTTATGGCTGGTATTAAGATAAAGAATTTTTTAGCATAATAAATGGCATAATAATGAAGATTGTTGGCATAATAAATAACTTAATAAATGACAATTATTATTAATAAAAATCCCTTATTGATACAAAATCTCCCACCCCCCCCCCCTCAAAACTAGCCATCTCCCTCTCCTCCTCCCCCCCTCTCATCATGCTGCAACCACCACCTCCGTCGCCCCCTCTCTGCCTCCCTCTCCCTGTCGTAACCGCTCTTCTCATCCTTCGACATCACTATCGCCGCCCTCCTTTCATGCTGCCCTCTTTCTCCATGCCTTCAACTTGTGCCGCCACCATCCCTCATGCTGATGTCCTCCTTCGTCGCCTT